GTGGCTATCACGCACCGGTACCTCCGGTATCGTGCATATCACTACCTGTACCTTAGGAGAAGTGGCGCGCATGTCATCAACGCCTTTCGCCAGTGTGGCTGCTAGTCCTGCTGTATCTCCATTTAAGACATCGTTTAAACCGCCTGAAATTATCACGAGGTTTCGTCTATCAGCTGTAGTTTTGAGTTTTGCGCTTGCTTGCGTCATGACTGCTTCAAGCTTGCGTCCCGGGAACACCCCTACTGCAACCCTCTTGTCACCTCTTACCCTCTCTTTGATGGCTTCTGTGCATCGATTTAAATTCGAGTCCCCGGCGATTATCACATGCCGTGACTTTTCAGCTGGAGCGTTCTGCGCCTGGGGGCTACTTGCACCTGTGACGCCGGCTGCTTTGTCACCTCCCAGCCCCACCACTACCTCACTGAAGCTGGGCCTTGCGACAATTAAACCGGCTGAACCTGTTTTTTCCAAGCTTGCTTGCTCTTCCTTCTCCCCCGTTCTGGTTGCGGGTTCCCTGCTGTTCTCTCCGTAGGCCGCTTCTTTGTTCAGCTTCGCAAGTTATTCCTCGCGGACTTCAGTCTTTCTCCCATTGCCCTCGTTTTCTTGTGCTTTGTCGCCAACGCAGTCTCGAGCTCGGTGATTCTCATCAGCAGTTCGCTCTGGGCAACCATCATTTTCCCCATTTTTTCCTCGACCTCACATTGCCTACACTTCGCGTCAGCCTCTTCTCCATCCGCTTCTACACTTGGGTCCACTTTCAAAACCACTCCACATCCTGAACACTTTACAGTCTTTTTAACCATGTCTTTCTGACACCAATTGTCCCTATTCTCGATAATTACTAAACTCGAGCCCTGCACTACGAAAAAGAAAGTCTAAGTGCTACTACAAAAATTTGCGTGTTCAATGTACGCGCACCTCCCCCACGGGGTGGCAAAAGGAAAAAAAAAACCAACAAAAAATTTCAAACACACACACCCGCACTAACTAATAAATACTTGGTGACTGGCCCCCGAAAAAGCCGTACCATAAAATAAGTGCTACGAAGATTTCAACTGCTGCCTTATAATTATAAAGACAAGCTCAAAACATGCAAAAACACTTATCTGCGCAGTCGATCCGGAGCGCTCAAAACACACGTCCATCCACTGTGACAGCCTGAACCGAATTTTCGTCCGGAGGTGACCGCAAGGTAGCGCCACTGCTGGGACTCCCAGCGCTAAAAATGGCGGGATTGCCGGCTGTTTTTGAATAGTGCTAGATCCCAGTAACATAAATCAATAAAATTGATAGTTATTCATCCCTCAGTTGCGTTTTAGGTCACGAATCGCTGCTACGGGGTCTATAGCTACTGTTATGACCGGCATCAGTAGGCGCCATGCTGTCGCTGAGAAGCGTGGCCGGGCAGCGTTCCCACGCCTAGAACCCAGTTTTCTCGGAACCAGCGTCCAGAAATGACGGGGGAGCGGCGCTCTTTTAATCCTCAAAGAGGTAGCCATGCCCGCCAGGTATTGTCCCTGCTAGCCGGCGGATGAGACGTCGTGTCGCCACGAAGCTGTAAGCCGTTCCAGAGGGGACAACAAAGACAGCGTATTCCTTTGAAGAAACGGCGACCGCCGCCACAAAGTGCCCTGCTAATTGAGCGGACAGATTGGCGGACCGTTTGATGTCTGCTGTCCGAAGCTTGGAACCCCTCGACCAGCGACATACACGACGAGCAAGAGCCTCTCTGGCGCCACCTTTAAGTGCAGTGATCTTGACTCGAAATTGGCTGTTCACGTGCGCCGGGCATGCTCGTACCCTTCACCTGTCGTGTGTGTGTGTGATTGGTGTTCCACTGAAGAAGGAGGAGCCCGACAGGGCTTATAACGGCGCCGCAGAGTGCAGGACGTCGCTCTGAATCAAGTAAAGGTTCAACCACCACGTTCGTAGTTTGTGAACGCTCTGAACCAAGTAAAGGTTCAACCACCACGTTCGTGGTTTGCGAACTCCTAACCTTTCATGCTGTAAATATTTGTAAATAGTGCCATAAACCTGTTTGTTTTTCGTATCCCCATCTTGTAAGCGGTCATTTCCTCAACCCGAAGCTACACCACGCTACCACAGCACCCCGGGATCACAACACTACTCGCCGATGCAAAAATCTTGGCATGAGTAAATGTGATGTCAGTGCTCCTTTAAGCAAGTGTCTGAGTTGGAAGCAATTCTTTTATCGTATAACCAAGATATCGTTGTCCTAACATAAACATGGTTAACTGATGAAATATATGATAGCGAGTTCCTTCCACTCGAGTGCGGCATGTTTAGAAAGGACAGGGGAGGCTGGGGTGGCGGTGTCGCCATCCTATTCAAGGAGAGAGTAAATTTTCGTCCGAACTCAGAATACGGTTCGAAACAGGTTCTTGGTGACGAAGCAAAGCCGGGTTCATTGCTTTGCGAGGATAATCACCGCTGGACTTTTTACAAATAGAACTTTATGTACAAAACTATTAACCCATCTAGCAGGATGTTGGCATGGAGGATCCCGGAATTCTTCAAGAAGTTTTTGATGTTATGAAGTGCAAGGCCGAAACCATGGAAAACGTGGAGAAAGACTGCGTGCTGTTTCTTGACTAAATGGAAATAGCTACAGCCTTTGAATTGGACCGAGCTCAAGACATTCTCCTTCGAGGTATCGCACTTCCTTCAAAGCCAGAGGAACCCGCTAATCACGCTTTCGTGTTCATGTTTGGCGGAATAAATCAGCGGTGGAAGCAAGTGATCGGATATGAATTTACTGGATGATACGTGGATGGCGCCTTGCTCAAAGACTATGTGCTCGGCATCGTCCAGTGTTTTAGCCAGATTTTTTCAGAGTCCGAGCAGTCACATGTGACATGGGCTCAGCAAATTCAGCCATGTGGCGAGAGTTCGGGTTTTCAAGCCACAGAAATTCTACTACCGTCTGCTCAGTAGAGCATCTATGTTTGGGAGGCAAAGAGCTTTTTTCACTGCTGACGCAGCCCGTGTGCCAAATAACCGGAGAGGGTAACTTTTAAGCCCCAAAGTCTTCACACTGAGTGATGTTACCGTGCATGACAATAAGCTCCCGTCACAATACGTGAAACTAGAGCACGCCCAGGTGGTGGTGGACTATGATGCAGAGAGAGAGAGAGAGAGCTGATAAGGTCGCACCTTTCCTGTCCGAGGTTCATGTGAGCTGCGGTCACTTCACAAAAATAAAGATGGGAGTAGCTCTCCAATTTTTCAGAGAAGCCGCACATTTCTGGTAAAGGAAGGGCTGCTTGACCCAGCTGCCGAAATGACTGCGTGGTTCATGGACTTAGTGTCGAAGTGGTATGCTTTGATGTCATCACGCCATCCCACTTTAGCTCTAAGCCACCGAAATATGGAGAAGTATTCTGCTGCTCTGAACACCCTACGCCTTGCAGCAGAGACAATCAAAAGAATGAAGACTGGCGCCACAGCTCAGTGGAAACCATCCCAAGCCGGGCTTCTCATTTCCACGACAGTTGTTCTTCGCCTTCAAGAAATCTTTCTGGACAATGAAGGCTACGAGTTTTTCTAACGAGCAGGTTACTTCGAGACTGCCTCGAAAATCTGTTTTCTCCTGTGCGCTTAATGAAGCCAGTGCCAACAGCATATGATTTGAAATGTGCTCTGAGGCCACTGAGTGGGAGGCAATTTCTCATACACCGTGGACAACAAGCTATGAGCTTGGTGATAGAGGGTACCTCGTCGAACTCCTTTCTCAAGCGAAGAAGCAACGCTCAGAAAATAAGAAATAGACGCCTCCGAGACTTTGCATGTTCATTGAGGAGCTGACGGCAACGGAACGCTGTATTTTGTACTATCTCGGAGGCTGCACGCGGAAAAGAGTTTTGAAGTCCGTATCCTGTTCCCCGTGCAAGGATGCCCTCCTTGGTGCAGCCAGCAATGAATATGCTTCTTTGACAGTTCTCAAGGAATATGTGAGTGATGGACGAAACTTGATTTATCCGAGCAGGAAAGGGATCCGCACTCTCAAGAACTATGAGGAGCACTTCATGGGCGTTATTGCGTGGTGTAGAAACAATGAACAGACGATGAAGTCGCCACTACGCTCTCTGACAGAACACCTTGTGAAGGTAGACCAGCCATGCCTGAGTACTTGCGCAGAACATAAGGAAGAAATAGGCAAGATGCTGGTAGCCACCTACACAAGACGGAGGCTACGCGTACATTTACGTCAAAAACCATCCACACATGCTGGAAGTCAAGGAAGCAAAACTTGTGCTACCTTGTGCTACCTAACAACAACAAAAAAACCCTCTATGGAATTAAGCGCACAGTTCATAATCATCTTGCCCATAATACATTTTGCCTAACGGTATTAAATTATTCTCCTCCATCACGCGTCTTCGTTTTGATTACCTAGCGCATAACACAGTTTGCCACCATGTAATCGTGTAGGCGGTGCGTAATAGTGACAATGGTAGTAAGGATCCGGGCATTCGTTCTTATATACACAGCAGCTATCTACTTTAGCATGTTTCTCTCTCTTGCTATGTCCATATGTGAGTGCGACGACAGAAAGCTCGCGGCGACGGTGCAACTACGAAGACGAGGTGTTGCCCACCGTTGTCACCACTCATTATAACAGAAAGAATATTATTCTCTATACCTTTGCTAATCCTCTCGAACTAGTGGACGCGTCACTGAATGTTCACTCTCGCTTACGATATACTTTGGCAAAGGAATGAATATCGAAGCTAAAGTAGAATGCAAGCGCCTACTGCAAGCAGGAGCCACCTAGAGTGCCTGGATGCGCGCGCCCCCGCTCCGAAGCGCGCTCCGAAGCGGAGCGCGCGGGCATCAAGGCACCCTAGAGCCACCGCTATCGAGGCGCTCCCAGCGAACGGCGGAAGCAAGAAAGTGGCGGTTGTGCTAGCAGACGACGCGGTCACCCTCACCCTAAGAGGGCGCTCGCATCAAGACACCCTCTTTCCCTCCGTGCCCTCTTTCGCTTTCCACTCGTATGTGTGTGTGCGTTTCTCTACCGTGCCTGGCGGTCGGTGGAGTGCGCAGAGTGTGTGCTGCGGCGGATTTTGCGTCTTGGCGGTGCTTAGTACTGGTGTAACCCCCTTTTCCTTGCTTCCACCATAACGCCGATCTTCGTCCGGACGTTTTGTAAAGATGTCGGAAGACCACAACGACCACGACGAGTGCAACGAAATCCAGGACATACCGGAGATTGAGCTCATCATCAAGGTAACACGCCCGCATCCGCCGTCCCGAGGGCGAACCGTCTGTTAGGCCTAGCAGCGACCGCGGCGCGCCTGCTCCGGGTCCTGCCGTTTATGGGGTGGGCGTAAGGCGGTCGAATTCTAACATATTTAGCTGCGGCTTTCGCTTGCACAGGGCGTAGAAGGCGTGCCCACGGTCGCCTTTTCGTCGGCTAAATTTGTCTGCGTGTGATTAAAAGTGTCTCTCGTCAACACACTGTATTTTGGCTCGCCTACCTTCCTGTCGACGTAGCGCATATACCCTCGGCGCTACGAGAAAATGGGGGTTGTTTCGTTTTATCGCTCATTCAATTCTTCTGGCTGGCGCGTCACTCGCAATAGCGCCCTTTTTTCCTTTGCATTTTCAGTCGTATACCTGCAGCGCGGCGCATTTCCTGCGTCCCAGAGGAACACCTGTTTCGCGACGCCCCCGTGTCGGCTGGCGGCGAAAGGAAAAGCGAGCCGAGAAGAGTGGCCTAAAAGTTCTTGCTGGTCCAAAACCGGGCAGTCCGGGCCACTCGGCAGCTTAATCCGTGCCGTCAGCGATTTAGCGTTTGTGTGTCATGGCATACTTTCTATTTCAGCAAGCCGGAACTGAAGGGGGAGGGGGGCGCAGACTGGCTGGTTTCCCTCTCTACTGCCACCAATGTCCTTGAGCGATATCTGTTTTTCGTCGACCAGCGCTCTTCATTTTTCCGTTCGTCGCCGTGTGGCCCCTCGCTGATAGAGAAATAACTGTTTGCTGCCGCCCGCTCAGGGGCGGCATTTTTTCCTTGAGCGTCGTTTCACCCCGTTTCGAGACCCTCGCTTCTGTGCGCGCGGTTTGTCGTCGGCCGCTGTGATGCAACGCAGTGGGGCGTCGTCGAATCTGGCAGGGTTTCCCTCCAAGTGCGTGGACGGCGCTCCCAAATTTGATCAGACTGCGGCTGCCTCGATCGAGCCTTTCATCGTTTGGTGTGCCTGTGTGCAGAGCCAGCTGCGCTTCGCCGCACGGACGCTCTAATTTGCCTGCTTCCTCCCTGCTAGTCACGTCTCCAACATGTGCTGCTGATCAAGCGCTAGAATGCACCATTTTCTTGTTCCTCGGCTGTCGTTAATGGCATTGTTTGCGGGTGTTGAATTGAGTGGGGTGATCGCACGCACAGGAATGCGAGTGCCTGTGCTCGTTCATTTATAATAGTGGAAAAAAGTATGGACGTCGTGAAATACATAGTGTTCATGTGATGTCACTTCCGCCGTTGTCGCCCTCCCGCCATGTCTGGGTACCTACGGCAGTTCGCCTGCTCCAGCGTGGTTTGTTGGGGGCTCATATGTTGCTGTGTACGATATTGAAAGGAAAGCATTGTGGTTTTTTTGTTGTCGTACTTTAACGAGCTTATCCGATCAGGAAGGCCTCGTTTGTTCACTCGATAGAAGACCAGAAAATCAAGATGTGCGACACGGATACCAGCCACCGCGTACACCGGCAGCCCGCCACGACCTACGGGGGCCCATTATCTCGCTTTCACTACACCACAAATTGCGTGGCCTAAGAACAAGTGAAAGCCCAAAGTGTCTCGAGCCGCAATTTTAAGAGTTCATGAGTGAAGCGCAGCAGCTCCCATCAAAAACGAGTCGTGGAGAGCTAGGCAAGATTACGTGATATATAATATTGCTATATATAATATATATATATATATATATGTAAAGTATATTGCTGCGGCCCACGCGACCAAAGTAGCACGCCCTCCCTTTAAGCGTTTTAAAGTGTGCTGATGTTGAGCCTATTTGATTGAAATTTGTGGAAACAGCCGAGGAAAATATTATGCGAGACAGACAGACTTAGCGTGGTGTGTGCCGCGGTAATGCTGGTCATCATTTTTTTTTCGCGTATGTTTTGACGTCTTTGTCACTTTGTATTTTACTTTTTTGTACGCTAATGTACAGTGGAGTCCCTGAAAATGGAGACCGTGTTAGGGAATTAATTGACCAATTTCTAAAAATCCTGACGCCCAAGTCGAACAGATCTTCAGAGTCAACTAATATTGATTTGCAACCATTTTCAGTTTGTTTCAATGCAATACGCGAATTTCCGCGATCGCCATCACAATCACGATTTTAACCGCCTCCATAACACGCTGTTGTGCATGCAGTGGTCCCGTACAAGTTTGTATGTACAGTATCTTGGTAAGCTATCTCTGTTTGCAGCTAAGTGCTTGGCTATGGCACTTACCTGGAATGAAGTTACACCTGAAGATGCAAATATCGCCAAGTTTGTTCAAGTAGTTTTTTGTTAATCCGTGCCAGCCAAACGCCGGTACTTTTTGGAAAATCGCAATTAGTGTTCCCAATTTCGGGTAACAACTTTTGGCAAAGAAACACCCTGAAGATCTGCTCCCTCTTCAAGGACTACTAAATCAACTTGCCTCACTAGCAGCCCTCAAACTTGCAACGGGAGGCAAAACTAAATGGGCGCAAGCATAAGGAGACAACACGGCAGCGGTAGGCGACGGAGTCGGTAGGTACCTGGGCGTGTCGGTGGCGCATTTCGGAAGTGACAAAGGGGCGCTGTGTGACGCACGTGCACACTATGTACAGGTCGTGGCTGTATTAGTGGGTACAGGCTGGGGGTGATTTGGCCATGCAAATGGTGTATATTAGTAAAAAACGTCCACTACCATAGTGTACAGCAATTAGGTTAACTTGTGTAATGATGTAGAATTTCAAACCAAGGGCGAAGTGGCTTTCTTGCACCCCCACCGCCTCCACACACACACACACACACTTTTTTTTTAGGTGTGAAGCTCCTTATGGCGTCTCCCGTTATCGTTTGTAACCACCGGTGAAAGAGCAGGTATGTGTCACAGTGGACAGACTTTTAGGGGCGAAGCTCCTTAAAGAGGCCCTGAAACACTTTTTCAAGTAACCGCAGAATAAATTCGCTGGAAGAGCTTACTGTCTTACGAATTCAACTCCGCAAAAATTTGAAGAATCCGTCCAGTGCGAGTGGAGTTACAAATATTTTTCGCATGCTGCCATTGCATTCTCCCTTTTCTCGTCCTGACGAAAGCGCTGGAAGCTAAACAGGGAGGAATGCCAGGACCACAGAAAAATGTCATGCGCACTTCGTGACCTTGAGCACTTTTTTTTAATGGGCCGCTTTTTCAGTGTGATTGCGCGTGGACAAGTAGCGGCCTACCGCGGCAATCTCTGTAACGAGCGAGCACGCCATGTTCAAATCACCCAATGGCTGATAGATGGGTCGTAGACGGGGGATTTTCGGGCACATAACGCGATTTGTCAAAAAAAAAAAACAAATTTTTGGCTGACTTTGATCATTTATTGTTATTGTAAATTCTAGGCCGGTGTGCCGTGCTTTAATGTTTGGCTCGTGTGTTGTTGCGAGCCTCTACTAACCGATCGGCAGTGTTTTCGGACCATGCTCAAGAAGTGCTGCAGGCGCCCTTTAGGCCATGGGTCGTGCGTCCTCGATGTATGAGTAGGTAGCCACCTCTTTTAGTTCTTGGAATGTCGAAGGCCGTTGAGTTGTGGGTCATGCGTCCTCGATGTATGTAGTAGGGGGCCATTGAGTCGTGGGTCATGCGTCCTCGATGTATGTAGTAGGGGGCCACCTCTTGTTCAGTTCTTGGAATGGTGGTGGTACTTCGAGTGTTCACTCTACGGACGGACATGCAAACACGCAGACAGATCGACCCACGGTGGGACAGACGACGCTTTGCCCCACCCATCATCATTCAGGCCCTGGATATGCTGTGTTTGTCTTTTGAGAGCCGAGGTTAATCAACATGCTTACATGTCATACACACTCAAAGAAATTGATGAGTAATGAATTCCTTTTGAACTGATTTCATTTTGTGCCTGCACATTTATTAGCCCGCCTTACCCTCTACCATCCTCTCAGGGGAAAATAGTCTAACTGGGAACAACTGGGACCAGTTCAAGTGGTTTTATGGTCAATTTCCCAGTGGGGACGAGTTGCCAGTGGGTTCCAACTGGGACTCTGAAACTGGTCCCCACTGGGATTTCGACCATAAACCACTTGAATTGGTCCCAATTGTTTTTGTTTGCCAGTAAACCCCTGCGGTTCATATAGACACAGAAGCTTGGTGTTGGAATTGGACTTCATTTATTAGAAACTTAGCAGTTTGATTGTACAGGAGCTGTGAAGCATCTTGATTGCTTCCTTGGATAGGTGGCATATGCCCGCCAATTCGTAGATCTCGTGCGTACGGAACCATCTGAAAAAAAAAAAAAGAATATTAGCGAAACTGTAATTACTATTTTACACATGCAATACTACCAGAAATTAAATTCCATCTTGTTAGAAAATCGTAAAGCCGGTATTGCTATCAACCAAAGCACAAGTGCTATAATGGCAATTACAGACGGCTTCTGTAAGCAGAAACTGTGGCTCTTAATTTACAGCTCTTGATACGTGACTCGATCGATGGCTATATCATTGTGAGATATTTTTATGAAGCTGTCATAAATGAGGTTCTGCTCAAATGTCTCTGCAACATGCGATTGCAGTTATCTACGAATCTTTCTACCATACAGTCAACATTTGTGAATGAATAGGCACACCTTTATTGGGGGGTGCATATCGGTAAAAGGTACAGATACACTACAGTATAGTTTACAACCGCGCAGAGCAATGAACACAATTAACTCGTGTCACGTATAATTTGATATTCTAGTTCCTTCAAGAATTCTCATATATGTCACTGTACATTAATCTAACACTAACTTTAGACATCGCGTCTTGGTCTATTGTAATCTTAAACTGTCGAGCTTATCTTAGCGGCAAAAAAAAAGCCGAAGCTAACAGACAGCAGGTTTGGGGATATTTAATTACCGAGCAAGTACGTGCCCTTTTCTAGTACTTCTGATAGAGCTACAAGCCTGCACGAGAATACTTCATAGTTATTTAGCATGCTGTTGAACACAAGTATTGTGCGATTGACACTTATATTTTATCACCCTCCG